GTTGGCCTTCCTGCCTGCAAAACTCCCCCCTTCTGCCCAAGTGTTGGACTACCTTAGGACAGATAATTCAGCCTCCTCTGGGAGGATTCACTGTGTAGTGCCCATGCTCTTGCTTCCCAAATCCCCATGGGCTGTTGGTGGCCATAGACAGCCTGGAGGGACAGGAACAGCAGGGAACCGTTGGTGTAAGCACACTTCTGGGTTGGTGATAACTGACACTGAGCTGGTGGCTTCCGAGAGCAACAGTGGAACCTGGAAGGCAACCGATGGGATGCAAACAGGGCTGCCTGGTGTCCTTCTCCTCAGCCACTTGTTACGGCCTTGTCCAGCAGAGGAGGTGCTTTTCACTGAAGCAAAGCCTCAGGGAAGGGGAGAGGTCAGTTGACAGAGCTCAATGGTAGCCAAAGTCAGCTAGTGCCTGCTGATGAGTTCCCTCCCCTGCTCTAAAGTAGGGAGCTACCTCACTGCCAAGTCTCCTGGGGTACTGTGCAGATAAACACTTCTCAAAACACAGCATCATATCCTGCAGAAAAAATCGGGACAGTGACAGAAATAGTTTCCTAAAGGTTTTCAAGAAAGTGTTTCCATTGCATTCCCTTCCCTGCTCACTCTGCCCTCCTCTGTGAGCACCACTGATTCCCTATCAAACTAGAAAACACCAGCATGGACAGGAACATACCAACTGCAATTAAAATTAAACTCAGCACCTTGCAAGTAACATAGTAAGAAAAACCCACCTACCCAGCAAAGAAAGTGGAGGTTTACTACCTTAACCAGGTTCACAACAGGGGAACAGATTCCCCTGTGCTTGTACAGGGCTGTACAAGCACTTTTGGCTTTGGGATTTCTTCAGCTCTAGCCTGGAGTGGAGACTATGCCTTCTGCCTTGAACCTTCACAGAAAGCTATTATAATTGGTTGACTTAGTCTCTACTCCTGTGGTGTACAATGTCATGGAAATCCCTTGACAGAATTACAGCCTTGTAAATCACTGTAGCCTATCTATTTCTTAAACATCTCACTCCGCAACGAACAATTGCAGCAGCATTAGAGAGAATGCCTTAAAGTAGCATTCGTTAATGATCAGAGAAATTAATTTAGTTACTGCAGCCAAGCTAATC